TAATATTGACGTCAAAAGAGGGGTTAGGCAATGCCATACCATCTCGCCAAAATTATTTACCGCCACCCTCCAGAACGTTATGCGAACATTGGAATGGGATAATATGGGTGTGAAAATCTATGTTCTGGAGTTACACCACCTTCGCTTTGCTAATGACATCGTGCTTATAACACCAAACATTAGTCAAGCGGAACATATACTTGCCGACTTTGATCAAGCCTATGGAAAGATTGATCTTCGACTAGAACTTACAAAAACGATGTTCATGAGGAACGGATTGGTTTCGTATGCTTCATTCACGCTCAACGGAATGAATGTCTCCGAATGCTCCTGTTACACCTGTATCGGGAAATCAACGTGTTGAACGACATAGCTCCAGAGTTGAGCAGAACGAAGCGAGCGGCTTGGAGAGCTTTCAGGAGCATCGAGGTTGTAATGAAGAGAACAAAGAACACCCGACTCCGTGCCCACCTTTTCGACTCAACTATACTTCGTGCCCTAACGTATGCGTCAGAAACCTAGCTGGTCGCTGGGTAAGCAGGATGGAAGATCACTGAGCGGTATTGAACGCATCAGAAGCTCCGACCTGCGTCAACGGTCAAAATCAAAGATGCCGTTCTATGCGCCAAACAGTCGATAATGAGGTGGACCGGACACGTAATGCGTACGAACGATAACCGATGGACAAGAGCAGTTAGTGACTGGATTCCTCGCGATGTTAAACGCACTGCAGGAAGACCACCACCCGATGGTCAGAGTTTTTCAGAGAAAGATATGATGCTCGACGAGTCCCTAGAGCACGCAGGACCCACTGGGCCACTCTTGTATGCGACAAGAAAAAATGGAAGATTTACTGGCGCCTACTCTAATTACGCGACGATCAACGGGACTACAGGTGATATTTATCTGCAATACAGTAATGGCCGGAGATCGATTGCTGTTGCTTCCACCTTAGACACGAATCCAATGGCAAGGCTTGTTGCCAGTCGTTGTCCCATTGCCAACCCAGTAATCTGCGCGTGACGTTTCCCAGACTATCTGAAAATCAAAGAGTCTAGACGGACCTTCAGGAGGCCCATGAGCTGCTTCGAATGCTTCATCTATAAACAGTCCGAGAAATATCAAGTAAAATTAGAGGATTGGTAATGGTAGAGCGATTGATACCAATCCTTGCCACTTCACCAACGTGGAAGGTGGAAGCATAAGTAACCGACCGCCGACAGTCACTCTGCTGTAGATGTATAGATGATTGTTTTTTCATCTGCTGCACACAAGAGGAGATGGACAAGTACTTTGAGTTATTAAACGGACAGTCACAGCACATAATGTTCACCTAAGAGAAACCAAAGAAAAAATGACTTTCGTTCGTTAGCCTTCAAACATACCTATCCGAAAACAGCTACATCACGAAATGGTACCGAAAACCAAGTACCAAAATCATACTGGTTCTCACCTGTCCCACACCAAAAGTGCGCTTGTAAGAAGCATGTTTCGAACAGCTATCAGGGTGGGCACAGAAAAAGAGCAGAAGGAAGAATCCTTGGAACTGGCGTGGCAAATAGCCATTTCCAATGGCTATGAAACCGTTGCTCCTCGGGATAGGTCTAGTGGAAAAATAACGCCACTAAACGATAATTCTCGCGAGAATAAGGTCCCGTTTGTCCTACCATTTATTTTCAACGAAAAAAGTGCACTTGTAAAATGTTGCCTCCCAACAATTTACCCCCTCATCGTGGCTAGGAGGTGTTGCTAGGACTATGATGTACAGCGGGGAGGGATTCATCTTCCAAGTAGGGCATCCAAAGCTGAGAAGGACTTAATCTGGCGTTCCCATCAGGAAAGAGGTGCGTGTGGCGCAGTGGTTGGAGGCGCCACTGCAACCAACGTGGAATCTATCTCCGCGCCCATAGCCTACAAAACCCTCCATCTCTCTGAGATCGGCAAATTGTTACCAGACTTCTCTGGGAGGATAGCAGCACTGACTCGATGCAACGGTAGGCCACTGTGAGTCATTGTAAAGACCAGACATACATTCAACCACCTGCAATTATACTTAATGATGTCGAATGCATGGCGCATCCCTCAGGGATTGATCAACGCCGAAAGCCGTATCCTTTATTCCATCAGGAAGTCCAACTAAGAATAGACCAGTATCAGGATCCATCACCGTCCTGGGATCAAACTAAACTGTAATGAATAAACCACCAAAATTCCGAAGAAAGTGGAAAGTTTGCTGGGGCACGCATAACCAGTGAGTGCTGGCCATCCAACTATCCATGTATAAAACGTTGCTTAAGAAGTTTCGATCTGGAGAAATCGATAACAGTGATTGAAATAACACTGAGCATTCTAAAACGCTAGCTAGTTCGCAACCGCCTTTATGAGCGTCTACGCGAAACGCAAATTCTCATAATATGCCCTAATAGTACAGACGATGATTGCATAAGTTCAGGTACGGTTTATCTGATTACTTGTAAAGCGTGCGGGGACGAATACATTGGCGAAACGGGTAGACCATTCTGCGTCCGTATAAAAGAGCACCTCGTCGGTAAACTTAAATGTAAACCAAGTGATCCACTAGGCACGCGTAGGACACCGAGATATAACGGGGAAGATTTTGAAGTTAAAGTCACCTTCCTCGCACAGGAAAAAAAACTTCAGCGCGTAAAACTACTGAAGTATTCTGTATAGACTCCAAGAACCTTAGCAATGAACCACAGGAAGCAATGCCTCGTTATCACGCGTGAACTCACTCAATGTCTTGGAATGACATTGGAATGTGAGACAGGTGCACTACCTATTCATGTGAACTCTACGGTTGGTATCCACCTGATGCACTCATTGGAAAACTCATAGAAAGAGGACAGTGTAGGGTCTCATGAATTTTCTGTTGGGGTTATGGTGGTATTTGGCTAGCTACATTGCAGACAACCTGACACCTCCAGGTTCTAAAGAGAGCGAAATCCGCCGAAATGTGAGCTGGTGTGAGTAAAGTGTTATTTCATCTTTAAAGTTGTCTAGGACCGAAATTTTCAGAAAGGATAAGAACGGAATCTAAACTCTTGAAATTCCAAACGATATCACCATATCCATGACATCAACGACGCATTTGAGGACAACATCATGTTCTAATGAACGAGATAACACTCGTTCAACTGCTTTCATTTCCTATATATGAGCCTGACGAGAATAGTCCATGAGATCAGAGGGAGATTTGGCACCATGCGACTAGTTTGATACTAAGGCGGTAGTGGATTCTGGTATTGGTTCACTTTAAGTGGGATTCCTGATGGGAAAGCCGGACTTCTTTTCAGCTTGAGAGACCGCCGGTGGGATGAATCCCCCGCTGTACATCGCAGCCCGACTTTCCAGGAACACCTCCTAGCCACGATGAGGGAGTGAACCGTTAGGAGGAAATTGCATTATAGGTAAGCATGTTAATCCTGAAGATATAAGAAACCCTTCTACACTTCTAACTATGGTGTTAACTGAAAGCATAAACAGATGAAAATATTGGCCTAGGTACTTAGAATTCGGTCGGACCGTTAAGCTCGTCGTACTAACTTCCAAGCTAAGGGTGATCGGCAACAATATCGATCTATAATGGGCGAATCAGCTACTTACTAACAAGGTATCTGCCTCTTCCTACTAATACTTTGGTTAGCAGTGATGCCTGAGCAGGAACTCGTGGCGCACCCCGGATCGATCCCCGTCGGTGTGCGGCGGACGCGGGCTTCGCGAGTGCTGCGACGGCGGCGCGCGGTCTCCGCTCCATCACTCGCCAGTGCGGTCGCTGGCCACCGCACTGTGTGGATCTGTCCTGAATTCTTCCAGGGAAGCAGATCTCCATTCACATGCGGCTTTTTTTTTAAAGATGTGTGGAATGATCTCGTAATTTGAAGTACCCTATTGAACGAGAAACGAACTCACCGCAGCCCATCCTAAGTCGCGTTTTTTGCTTTTTTTTCTACATCTAGATCGTTGTACTCTAAGTCCGACTAGTTTTCGCTTAGATTACATATATTGTACTATTGTAGACCGGGTTTCATTTAACCTCGGTATGAATGACCAATGTACCTTAGCTCATTGATAAGCTAACACGAGGTTGTAACCAGACAGTTATTCGGTTAACGTCTCAACCTCTTCGCCTTCCTCAGAGCCGGTGGTCCGAGCTGATGGTCCACAGTCGTTCATCTTCTCAATGTAATGAAGAACATCACACACAAAGGACTGTGGACCATCAGCTCGGGTCATCGGCTCTCAGGAAGACGAAGACGTAAAAAGATTGGCCGAATAAATTATTGGTCACAACCTCGTGTTAGCTTATCAATGAAGTATGATACGTTTATGATCGTTCTTAATAAGTACATATATATATGTATCTATATATATATATATATATATGTATATATCCATTGTTTTGATCCTATTTCCCTTTGCTTCACTTTCGCGCTCCATTCGCACTTCAAGGACCCTGCTGCTTTTCCCTTTCTTCACAAATATTTTTGTTAAACGTTCTTATATTAAATAGAAATTACTTGTATGGCAACGTGACTTAAGTTGTCTTTTACCTTTTTTCTATACTCAGGTCGTTGTGTGTTTTTTCGGATTTTTTTTTGTTCGAACCAAGTACTTGGTAGCTTTAAGTAGCAGTACTTATTTTGGTTTTCCTTAGTGAAGTTGGCTTGGCAGTGGTAGTATATTTCATCTGATGACGTGGAAAAGAACCGCTGACATGTTTCGTAGTTGTCTTGCACGTCAGTGCTGGATGTTAAGGTTAATATCTTCCTCTGTCTCAGAAGATCTTTACTAATCGATGGTCATTTGACTGGAAGTTTAACGAATCATTTGGCTTTCGTTCTTCGGTATTGCTATTATAGATGGATCGAACTGGAAGGAAACGAAAGGTATTCTCTTTCGAAGGTCGTGGATTTTACGTAGAATTTAGAGCAGTTTTTTATAACTTTTGGTTTGTAACATTTAGTAGTTTCCTAATTTAGGCTGATGAGGAGCATGAAGAGCTTCAAAAGGCTCTCAGAAAGTTTGAAGATGATTTTGGCAGCCTAGGTGGTGGAGCTCTAGATCGTGGTCCGAAAGCGTTTATCCGATCAGAAGTAGTAAATGCAAATAAGACAGGTTAGTGAGTGCTATGCTCATTATTTTCTCTTTTTGAATGGTTTGTATATTTAGTAAGCAGTGGAAAGGAACTCTACAAACCTGAGCCTATTGTGAATATTCATCGTTCCCTTCCTGTTAGTGGAAGTTCGTTTGAAGAATCGAAAAGACTTGCCGCTGAAAAGGTCAGCCCTTGTATGAAAACTTGCATTCAAATCATCATCATCTTTATCGATTGAGATCGCTACAGTTAAACGAGAGATTAAGAGATTAATACCTTTGAAGGCACGTCGAATGCTTGAGGAAGCTCACAAAGGTAAAGGCCCTCCTCCACAAGTGATACCGTCCAGTGCAACTCGCCCAGTCCTTCGACCACCGAAACCTGGTGCCGGTAGGGCCGTTCAGAAGAGCAAGACGAGCAATTTAGAGGCATTCAAGGAAGAGCTGAAGAAGTACGACTGTTTTCTTTTCCTTCTTCGTTAATTATGTCTGTTGAGGTGATCGGAACGATGCTGAGATATTCACAGAACTTGGCAGCGACAGGTAGAAAACTAGCTAATAAAAACACAAAGCAAAGGAATTCTTCGTATTTTTATTGAGCAAACGCGAGGTGTTATTATTCTTTATTCGCGAATAAGCTGACGTTTCGGCGGATTTCGCCTTCCTCAGAGCCGCCGCTTTCTATGAGGTTTCCACTAAGTATGTCGAAATCTGAGGAAGGCGAAATCCACCGAAACGTCAGCTTATTCGTGAATAAAGGATAATAACACCTCGCGTTTGCTCAACAAAAATACGAAGAATTACTTTATCAATGCCGAGGTTAATAGAAAGTCGGTCGTGGGAGTTACAAAGCAAAGGCTTCTGCGGTGCAGTGTTTATTACGCGAGATCTCGGAAACGGTAATCTCGTTGGATCTGGCACGGGGTTCAAGTTTCGCGAATATCTCAGCATCGTTGTGGTTGTATTCCACATCATACTCTGCCGTGAAAAATTATAGTAAGCAGAAAATAAAAGGTTAACGTATGCCTGTTGAGTTCCGTGCTGATTTCGGAAAACGTGTAGAATACACACAGAGTGCACAGAAATGACAGCCATTTGTTTAGCAAAGTAATTGTTTTCTGCAAAAAGTAAGAAGAATCTGCTCTTTGGTAATCCGCATATAGGACGCTATTAGATGTCTGTTGTCATTATTCTATTTCCTTTGGTTTATACGAATATTCCATATGTTATATGTTTCAGGGTTCAACAAGAAAGGGATCAAAGAAAGGGGCTAAGAGACCATCTTAGGGCAGAACTCGGAGTTGATGCAGAAGCACTCGACAAGTCAATTCGTCAATAAATATTTGTATGGAAGGAATTACAGCTTAATGTTTTTGACTTTGTTTAGAATCGCACCCGTTCTTGACAAGCCTTACATGGGAAGTGGTGAATACGATGATGATCCGTATACCACAAATTTATACATCAGCAATCTGCCTCTCGATGTGAGTTGTCAAAATAGCAGCTGAACGTACGACTTTTGGTCAGCTCTGTATTTTACAAAGTAGTGTACATGGTTCACATATTCGTGTTGCACTGCTCTAAAACTGTGGCAAGAACTTTACAAGATACTGGGAGGATATTAGATGGCTTTCTGATACCAATTTTTTTTATCAAGGCGTTTTATTTACGAATATGTTCAGTTATACTTTAGATGACCATGGAAGATCTATTCGATACGTTTGGATCATTCGGACCACTCGCCTCTGCAAAAATACTGTTTCCTCGAACAGAAGAAGAGAAAAGGAGGGAACATCTCTGTGGTTTCTGTGCGTTCATGTAAGTTGCTTGCAAGTCCATATGTTTGCTATAACATTTTTCATGTGATTTTCTTTCTGTGACGGTAGCGAACAGTTATTGTTCTGCCTTCTTTAGGTCACGTGAGGATGTAGATCGAGCTTTGGCTCAAATGATGGGTTTTTTTATTCGGGGTGAGCCTATTCGGATGTCTTTTGCGAAACCAATTGTGATTCCGGCCCAGGTACCGCTATTCTTCCACATGTTACACTTTTTATTTTGCTCTCTTGTCTTAAAGTATACATGTTTTCTACTACAAAAGTAGATAGTAAATCTCTTGATTTTCTTTGCCGATTTGAGGAAAGTTCTGAATTTTCGTAGTCTGGCGTCGTATAAAAATTTCTATAGTTTGAGTTACGGAGATTTCAAATTCTGCAGTAACTATTCTTATCGATCAGTTTCCATTCTCCTTCGACCAGAAGTTTTCGCAATAGCAAAATTTTAGACAAAATTGCAGCCATTCTATGTGCCACCACCCTTACTTGATTTGAGCGCTCCGGATCCTATAACGGAATTGCCGTTCAACGCGAAGCCACTCCTTCGTGACGTAAGTTTGCTTCTTTGATAACATAGGAAGGATTTTGAAATCGGCTCAAATTATTTTGTAGTTGACTGCATATAAAGAAAAGTACGGACCTTTACCCCGATATGGAGAGCCAATCAACTTCGATGGAGAGCAACTCCAAGCCTACGAGGAGGTAAAGTGGTGCTAAAGTATAAGCTAACTATATGCGCTCTACCGCTTGAATTCTCTGAAATATTGCTGAAATATTTTTTGACACATTCCTCATCCATTGTCTTAGATTTTTGTGCATATTTTTGTCATCGAAATTCATGATAGAGTTTGAATTTAATCTGCTACAGATGATCAAGAACGCGACAGTTCGTGTAGTGATTCCGTCAGACAGGTAAGCGCCATCATCCGTACGACATGTGGTAGGCGGTCAACAACACTATCTGGAGTCTCATTCATGAACACTGAAGTCCTTTGAACATTTTTTCTTCCAAATTTCTTCCGTAGAAACCATTCCCTTCATATATGGATCTTAATTCTTAAAGCCAATGAAGCAAGTTTTCAACATTTTCTTCTATAGACCAAAGTTATTTTCCGAATATGTATTTAGATACATGTTCACGATTCAAATGCACCAGTAGTTCTGTGGGCATAGTGAAGATGGTGCTGTGATTGAGAGCTTATTAGAAATCGACGAACATGCGATGATTTTGTCAATAGTCATTCGCAAGCGGTGGCCTTAAAATGGCACCATAGATACTCGCAGGATTTTTCCCCTTCCGATTCCTGTGAAATGCACTATGGATTCGTGCTCTTGACTATTGGTTTTAGGTTACTTAAATAATGGTATATAGAACTTAACAGCATAAAATCGGCCTAACATATATCACTTTTTATGTTTTCTTGTCTTTTCGATTTCATTAATTTAGTCATGAGCTTAAATGAAGATTGTTTATGGTTGAATAGAAACACGAGCTTTACGTACTTTCAACATTAACGACATGTGGCAATATTGTGCTGTGGTTCTTTAGCCACCTCCTGCTTGTCATCCAGCATGTTGTGGAGTTCACTGTACGTGAAGGCCCCTTATTCGAAGCTATGCTAATGACTCGTGAGCGGACTAATCCTCTATTTCGGCGAGTTCATTTGCCGTTCACTTAATTTTTTTCAATGTTTAGTTGTTACCAATTTTTCTTTTCTTTTATTTTGTATTTTTAAACGTGTCTAGTTTTCAAATTAATGAAGCCAAATGTTTTACTAAGCACCTTTATACTACAGGTTTCTATTCGAACTGAATCATCCTACTCACGTTTACTACCGTTGGCGATTGTACTCGATCTCTCAAGGCGATACTTTTCTAGAATGGCATCGAGAGAAATTCAGGTAGGTTGTTTATTGTTCTTTGAGTTTTTTATTATTAATTGGTTTCATTTTTCAATAACGTTTCATGTTCATTTTCAGGATGTTCGAAGGTGGTTCGTGGTGGCAGCCGCCGATTCCACAAGCCGAACTGTTTAGTAGCATGCCTCGTTCGCTTTACAGTTTTGCTTGCACTATGACTGAGCCTAGTCGCTGGCTACCTAAACTGGATGTTCCAATAGCGGTTGGTTACTGCTTTTAATTTCGTAGTCGTATACGAATTTTGTTTATTGGGCGTAATTTCTAAGTATTAACATTCTGTGTAAACTGTTGACTGTTTAAATAACATTTGTTATGTGCTTCCAATGAATTTTTTGGGATAGGATTTTTGGGATTTCTCTTAAAAAATGACTAGAGAGATGTTTGCTTCTGGTTTTTAGGAGTAATTTGAAAACTTTAGACTCGAACCTCGTCGAAATCACAAGACACAAGGGAACGACAAGATAGATCTCGGTCAAGTCCAAGACGTGAACAGTTGAAAAAACCGAAGGCTCGATTACGAAAAAGCCAGCGAAAGAAACTGGAGCAGCTTCTTAGAGAGCTTACTCCAGAAAGTGATAGCGTATGAGCACTCTTCCGTTATTGCAATCAGTCATATTCTCATTAGTGATATCCTCTTTTTCTAGATTGGAGACGCCATGGTTTGGTGTGCCGATCATGCCACTTGTGCTCGAGAAATATGTGATTGCATATATGAATCACTGACGATTGACGAGACTCCTCTGCATAAGAAAATTGCCAGGTTAATCTTTCTCACCTAACCATGTTAACGCTGATATTTTAAATATTCACTTTCAGGCTCTATCTGATCTCCGATTTATTAGCAAACGCGGCTTCTCGAGGAGTGCGAGACGTATTCTATTTCAGACAATACTTCGGTGATCTTCTTTCGAAGGTGGAATTTATTTGATTTTAAGTCACAAATTATTGTGGTTTGTGATTTTCACTGCAATATTTTTTTGTAGATTTTCTCTGCTTTGGGACGCACGTTGAGGAATATCACTGCTCGTCTTAAAGCAGAACAGTTTAAACAGCGCGTCATGTCTTGTTTCCGGTAAATTTCCTGTTTCATAATTGCCGAATCGGTGAGAAAAAGAAAAATTGACTAAACTATTCTTGCAGAAAGGGGGATTAGTTATGATCAACAGTTGTTTTAGGGTTCTTTCTATGAAAACCCAAGAATTCACTGTTTTCTTGATGAGCAAACACGTTACTGCTTTACTCTTTGTTCACAAAAAGCTGACGTTTAGACGAATTTCGCTTTTTTTCAAAGCCTGAAAAGGTCAAATTCATTACAATCTAGTCAGGCAACCATCTCCATAGTCAAAACAGAAAAATTTTTGCTCATCAAGAAAACTGTGAATTATTTAATCAATGCCGAAGTTAATAGGAAATCGATCTTGAGAATTACAAGAATTATAATCCAAATAATCCTATTTCCTACATCTCTTCTTTGTTTTATTACTTATGATTCCTTGAGATTGAATGTCCGAGGTTCAAAACATCCGAGACGTTGACGTCTACTATAATCTAAATCTGGTGTTTTTATAAAACGAGGAGTGCTGTAAAGATATAAATAGGTAGATCAACGAGATGATTTCAAATTTGGTGCGAAATTAAAGAAGAATTTCCTACCTAATGGCGTAGTAGGCTCAGTGTTTTGTTTTCTCCTAGTTATCATCTTGGTCTTTGCCACGGTTTTCTGCGTACCTTGTAATTGAAACTGACACCATTGCCGTCCTGAGTTATTTTCGCTTGGGAAACTGATTTGCCTTGAATCGGGCAATAACGGAGTATGTTTGGAGATTTACAGTCATTTTACTGGATCGTTTTGCTCTTTGCGAATTTTGTGGACCTTATTGTTAACTCTAATAGTCTTCAAAATCTTGAATGATGTGTAGGCTTAGACTTTCCACACCAGTTTACCTAACCAGAAATTGAGTCAGCTACTTTTTCGCAAGGACTCATTACATATTTATAAAGCGCACAGATTAATTTCTTTTGTAATAGAGCCGCTTATGATTTGACAAAGCTTTACAGAATTTATCGGGGGTCACACCTTCAGGATATTTAATCAGGCAGTATGGGATTAATTATTAGATGGAAACTCTGGAATAACATATATGTTACGAAATTGAAATGAGATCGATTTTTAGACTTGGCTCTGAATTTTAACGCCTAAAGAACGGAAGTTAGAATTTAACAGGGCCGAGAGTTCTTTCTAGTACTGTGTAATTGCGCATTTTATGTGTCATGACATATGATTTATCAAGTTTGTATTTTTTTATTTTTTTTGTTCGTTAATATTAAACCCTTCTGGTCAGCAGTTCACTTGAAAGACAAAGCCTTTTTTTCGAATTCTTGAATTTCTTTGCAATATTAAGTTATGCAATATTTAAGTGCCTGGGAAGAATCGGTTTTGTATCCAACTGACGTTCTGGTGAACAGCCAAAATATCTTTCTTGGCTTAATGGTAAGTTGGACCATCTTTTTAACCCTCGTTATGTTCTCAGAATATGATTTTCTAGGATGGCCGAACAAGTGATGATGAAGAAGAAGATTTAGATGGTGCTCCGTGTGACATCGATGGAGTACCTATTGAGGAAACTGAGCGAAATGTACCTTTCCATTTTTTTTAAAGAACTTTAATGACCATATCTTTTACAGATGCCAATTTTTGACGAGGAAACAGATGGCGGCAATTTAGGGACAAGTTCTGAACCAGTTCGCAAACCAACTGGAACTTTCAAGTCCGTCAACTGGAGTACGGTGAGCTCAACATCTCTAGTTGGATTTCAGTCTTCATTGAAATTTTAGTTTTCTAGGTAGGCACAGTTGAGCCAGTGAAGAGTAAATGGGAAGAAGAAGATGGAGAACTTCCGATGAAAGAACGCAATTTTAGTCCCCCACGAAAAAATTCAAATGCTGACGAACCTAACACCGTCAATCCAATGAGTGCTCGCACAGGAGATAGTGAGGATAGCGACACAGACGGCGAAATTGAGGAGAAAGAGTTGGCTCCCACATTACTTTATTCTACTTTTTTTTCTGTGAATCCTACAAATTCTTGTTTTAAGTGCTGGCTAAAGTCTGGAGATGGACATTCGCTGAATTATAAATTAGCGTTCTTAAATAGGTTTTCTAAAATTTGGCGGATGAACCCATATTTCTGGAATATCTCTGGCTCGCAGTTGTGGCCGATGGAGCCATAATGAAGAATGAAAGTGTCAAACGGCCACATCTTACTATGTCCTCTACTAAATGACACAGGCGTGAAAGTATTCCACATCACCTGAGTAAATGATTTTCTATTGCTACTGACTAACCCATGCCAACCATGAAGTTTTTTGACTCGTCATTGAAAGGAGTTCTTACAAAATCGCTAAGGCGTCAGCCATAAAGTAGCAGTTTTAATTTTGCAGCTAGGTAACCGTACAGTCTACCTATTGTTGTTAACTGTTTTAGCAGTGAGACTAGATGAGAGTCAGGCAAAACGAAGAACCCGGATGGTGTGGTGGTGAAGTGCGCTATTCCCCGGAAAGGACAATAGCGCGTTCGTTCCACACCGCATACATCTGCGGTCCGGAGTTTTGCAAATATCTCAGCATTATATACGAGTTATATTTCGCAACATACCCTGCCATTAAAAAGAAAAAGGCAGTAAATAAAAGGGTTAAGATTGTGTTTTAGTAATGTTCTTCTAAAAGTATTACGCATTCATTCTCACTGTTGTAAATACTGCGTCCGGTGCGACATTGATTTAGTCTCTTCTATACGAATACTGTATTCTCTCTATGTGTACTATACATATATGTACATATATAAATATATATATATACATATATGTGTGTATATATATACCACATTTTGCAAGTTCTGAAGTGTTGAGACAAGACATTATTAGACATTTAAATGGTACAAAACAAATCTGTCAGATTTACATATGTCTCGAAACTTTGCCAATATTGCAAATTCTCACTTTGTTAAACATATCCTTCAAGGTCGTTTAAGTGTCCTGTAAGCTTATAGTCGTTAATTCTATATCTTTCAGGGACATCCTTGCAACTGCCGCTATGGAAGAGGAACGTCGCAAGTTAATGCGCGAAGTTGAGGTAGTGTGTGGTATTATTCGTTTGATCTTACCGAGCCGGAAAGGAACTGGTTTTAGGTGAAGGTAATGGCGCTCCAAGATGAATTAGAGAGTAAAAAAGATCCAGATATTGCAGCTAAGGTGATTTCCATTTTTTGCACCGTCGCATTTTTCATTGTTTCTTAATCGCTTCGTTTTAAGGTGAAAGCGTTACGGGAGAAGGAGATGTTCAATTTGGAGAATAATCTCACCCCTATTGTTAAGAAGCGTATGAAAAAGGAAAAAAGAAAAGTCAAAAAAGATACGAGGAAAGATCCGAAAGATGATTATGTTTCTGCAAAATCTGCTCGTGAATCAGATCGAAGTGCCCCGGACAGGCGTCGTGACACTCGTGAAGCGGATTTACGAAAAAGAGATAGGAGTCGTGATAGAGAGCGGGACCGTGACAGAGACCGTGATCGACGCCGAAGTAGAAGTCGTGAGCGAAAGCGTGATTCAAGCCGGTTAGTGAATTTAATAGAGTAGAGATATATATATATATATATATTGCATGTACATGCGTATACACATATAGGTACATTTTTATATATAAATATATATATGTACAATATGCATGTATATATTTACACGGATCTCCTTCATATGAGGGATCTCGAGCCGGTTTGTCGCGAGACTACGTGGCGCGTCACCGGGTAGCGGATAGGAGTTAATCGTGGACCAAAAGCGAATTTTGCTTCCCTGAGACGCAGGTGGATCCAGGGGACGGACTCCCTGTTTCTGATGCGCTGATTTGGCACATACTTCCTGTATTTGCTAGGCCCATTCATTCATGCGTGTGTGGGTGCGTTCTTGCTTATGCGGATTATATTCTACGAGTCAATTCGGCCAAAAGCCTGCAATCAAGTGATTGGGAAGTGTATGAGGGCGGTTAGGAGTCGTCTCCAACAAATAAGCTCCATGTCCACTCTGGGAGAGCCTGGCAAGCTACCCGTGGGTATACCCAGCAAGCTATACGCGGGTGTCAAAATGCTAAATAGTAAAAAGAAAATGGGCCTCATTCCACTGACCCCGAAAGAGTCTCGAATTTCGCAGCATTGGGTAGGACGAGTACGGAGAGGTTGCCAAAATCTCAGGGCCAGTGGAAGCTCGCTGCATTACAAAGTACTATGGTGACGATCTGTACTTACAGTGGACAAACACTTGTATTCGAGTGGTCGTTAGAAGACTTGCTCATGCAAGCAAGAATGATAAAGTACGACGTCATCGGCGTGGTCGAGACGAGAAGACACCGGCTCTACAACGCCGTCTATGACACCGGAGAAGAACCGTTCCTCGGAATATGCGACAGTAGAGGAGTCGGCGGCGTTGGAGTTCTCGTCAACACGAGTTTGTCCATGAACATCGATTTATTCGAACAACTTACAACCCGAATCGGACGTTTACGATTAAAAAGACATGGATCAATTCCAGCTTTGGTAATCTCCGTTGTTTACGCGCCTACATCAAACCATGACGAAGAAGAAGTCGAAGCGTTCTATATGGACTTGGAGAAGTTCTACAGAGAAGACCACACATTCTTCAAGGTCATCACTGGAGATTTCAAAGCCAGGATGGGACAAAGAAGAACGTCTGAAGAACATCACATTGGGACCCAGGGATTAGAATGGAACGAACAAGGTGAGCGGCTATCTGAGGTTATCATAGCGACCAAGGCCTTCCATGGTAACACGCAATTCCAGAAGCCCACCCTCAACGCTGGACCCAATGAAGAGTATCACCTGCTGTCCTGTTGATCGTCTGGTGAATCGAGCGGACACCAGCAAACTTTCCATTTCTCGTTGTTGCGTGGAAGAGCAGCCCAGTGGTTGTGTTCAATTTAAAGATCCTTGAGCATCATATCTTTCTTTTGGCCTTTTCATGAAGAACTCTGACCGTCGGCTCGGTGGTCTTCTTGCAGAACGTTTGACTCCCCGAGGAATCCAGTCATTAACGGCACTTGTCCATCGGTTGTCATTCATACGCATTGTGTGTCCAGTGTGTCCACCTTATCTTCAACTGTGTGTCGTACAGAACGGCACCTTTGATTTTTGATCATTGACGCAGATCGGAGCTTCGGATCCCATCCATTACTTGTGTGAAACGGGATACTCCCAGCATCGTCCTTTCGATTGCTCGTTCGATAACGCTGAGTGACCTTACATCCTGCTTACACA